GAAATGAGTGGTATTAAAGACTCATACAGTCCAATAAAATGAGAGAGGTACGTTGGGCAGATGCAAAGTCACAACTTGCTGACTGTTTAACAAAACTTGGTGCAGCTCCTCTTGCTCTCCTAAGAGCACTAGATGAGGGTGTGTGGTGCCAGTAAAACAAAAGGGTTTTCACTATGTACTAGGGCTGGGCAATAAATCGAAAATTTATCGCTATTAAAATTTCTGACTCTTATCGAGAACATTTTTCCCATGTTAATAAATTTGATAATATAAAAAATGAAAAGACGTGTGTAGGTTGGCAATGTTCACGTCCCTTTAAGAGGCTGTTCCACCTTGAGTCACTAAAATTTGGTAATACACGTGACAGCCCCATCTAGTGGACAATTGTTGTTTCTGCACATACCTGTAGTTATCCTCCATTTATTGTTATCAAGGTGAAATCCTCAATATATGGTGATATTGATTTTAGGCCATATCGCCCAGCCCTACTAGGTACACATATTCACATGTACAACACTTCTTCATTTTGATATTACAGTTTGTATAAGAATGTTTAAGCAAAATGTTTTAAAAATGCAATAAAGTTTTTTGTTGTTTTTGTTTTTAGACAAATGTCAGAGAGCATTTGTTGTTTTCAGTCCTGCTAATGTTAGAACAGCTCCGCCACCTGACCTCCACTCTCCCTCCTCTCATGTGACATCGACTGTTTCCAACTTTGTAGTGGAAATGAACACCGCCTTAAAGATGGACGCCCGGGTTAATAGCACAGTTAAATCCTGTTTTTACTACCTTAGGCAAATTCCCACTTTAGCCCATCGACAGTAACGATCACCTAAAATCCGTGATCCATGCCTTCATGGCATCCCGGCTTGACTACTCCTGCCTTTCTGGCATTAGCAAAGCTGCGCTGTCCAGACTCCAGCTGGTTGAGAATGCAGCAGCAAGGTTCTTGACCGGAACTAACAGAAGACACATTACACCGATTCTCCAATCTCTTCACTGGTTGCCGGTTTAATTTCGGATCTATTTTCCAATTCTTCTTTTAGTTTTCAAGTCTATAAATTGTCAAGCCCCCTGCTATCTTAAGTGTATTGCTCCACCGCTACCAAACTCCTCGTGCCCTCAGGTCTGTGGATCAGCTCTGTTCCTGAAGCACATTTCAAGACCCGCGGTGAAAGGGCCTTCTCTATATGTGCACCAAAACTCTGGAACTCGCTGACCCTCCAGATTAGGCAAGCGCCTTCAATCGCCGCCTTTAAATCTCATGTGAAAATGCACTTCTTCTCCTTGGCTTTTAACTCTTAAACCTGGTTGTAGTATAGTCTACGGGTTTTTCTCCAATTTGGATTGCTTAATTTTTCATTTGTGTATTTTATGGTTCTAATTGCCTGTTTGGTTTTTACTTATTTCCTTTTAACTGTACTACTGATGTGATTATTTAGCTTGTCTCTTTATAATGCCCAGTGCTTTGGTCAGCTGTAATGCTGTTTGTTAAAAGCACTAAACAAATAAAATGGTATGGTAACCACTTAATTTTTTTATCCCCACAGAATATTTATAGCCATACTACTATAGACGGTTAAGAGGCTTAAACTAGCTTGTTTTGCAGATTAGCTTTAACTGAACAACAGCCAATTGGTTCAAACAGGAAGTACCCTGATGTCCCTGGTCAGGGCCTGAATCTCTGTGGTGAACTCCACACTCTGCTGCTCCAGTTGCTGCCGTTTCTGCATGTTGCTGCTGAGCTGAAGCTTCTCAGCCCTCGTCTCGTTTACTTCACTTTTCAGCTTCTGAATCTGATCCTGCTGACCCTGGATCAGTTTATGCTTCAGCTCCATTTTGCTTGAAGCTGGAGGGACACAACGAAGTAAAGACCGTGAAAAGGAAATCTTTATTAAGTTCTACCAAAAAAAAAAAAAAAAAAAAAAAAGTGATTGAAGCAAAGCTGGTAGAACTACATGTTGACCCACACTTCACATATTTAATCTCTTGTGACACAGACCAGCTGATCATTTGCATGAGCTTACAACCGTGTGAAGTGAGAAGTTCAGAAACAGTGCTTTAGAAATGCCGTCTAGTTGGGGGTCGGGGGGTGGGGGGTGGGGGGGGGGGGGGGGAGTCGCTTTGCTCTGCGTTGAGCGGGGCCTGCTCATCCCCAGTAGATCGGGGTTAGCTCGGGGGTTCGGGAACAGTTGTGCCCTCTGTGCAGCGGTACCGGGTCCACAGTCAGTAGGGTGTGTATGGGGAGTGTGAGTGTGTGTGAGACGTACATTTTTGTGTGTCTTTAGGTTGCATGCACTTATGTGTGAGCGTGAGGGAGGGGGTGTGACTGTATCTGTCAGATGGGGTCTCCTCCACTGTCCTGAGAAATCTTGTGGTGCTACAACATCTTCGCCTACCCTCCACATGCCAAAAATGTCTACCGGTGGGTGGTGTGTACACAAGCGTGTACCCACGTAGGTGCTCACATGGCTCTCTTACAAGTATGGACTTGAGCATTTTAACACCCCACCTCAGCTTTTCTCTCCCCCTTTCTCTTCCGTCTCAAACCCAAACTGTAAGGCTTGTCTTCAGCGTAGGGCTGGGCAATAAATCAAAAATGTATCGTTATCGAAACCCCAGACTCTTATCGTGATCATTTTTCACATGTCAATAAATCTGATAATAAAAAAATGAAGAGCTGTGTGTAGATTAGCAACATTCATGTCCCTTTAAGAGGCTGTACCACCAACGTAATATACGTGACAGCCCCATCTAGTGGACAACTTTTGTTTCTACACTTACCTGTAGTTATCCTTCATTTATCGTTATCGAGGTGAAATCCTCACCATACGGTGATATTGATTTTAGGCCATATCGCCCAGCCCTACTTCAGCATTCAGATATCAAGAAATTACAAATTTTCTGACTTGCAAGAAATCTACATTTTCTTTCTCACATATTCTTAAAACCTCAAAGACTTTATCACTTGGTTATCAGTCCAATAGCGGCTTTCTAACACACCCTTTAGGTGTGAACTGTTGTCATGATCACAGACAGGAAGCTGTGTGATCACTTTGGGTCCAAATAGCAGCTAAAGTCAGTTACAGTCAAACATCAAAGAGATCACAAATAAAACACAGTGACCGTTAAGGAAAAAGGTCTTTTTTGATGATGACGTCTTACTTGTGTCCAGTTTGTGCTGAGTTTCTTGTTTCTCCTGACTGACTTGTTGGATGGTTCTGGTCAGGTCTACTCCCTGGAGTTTGGTTGCCTGCTGGGCTATTTTTCTCTCCAACTCTTTTAGGTCCATCTGACAAAAACAAAACAAAACAAAGCATTTAGATAAAACTAATTTCCAGCTCAATATCTGAGTAGATCCAACCCTCTTTTCATTTGCAAACGCAGATGTTTGGAAAACGAGAAAAACAATTTCATTTAAAAAGTTTAAACCCAGTGGAGACGAGACCAGAGAACAGAAGAGCATCATGGCCACTGGCAGGTTAAGAAGTGTACTGTTCATATTAAACATTCTGATAAAACCTGCTTGTTGGCATCATGAGCTTCCAGTCCAAGTTTGAAGTCTGTCTACATCAGTGACTTACTGGTCTTTAAAGGCCTAATTGAAGGGAGAATGATTAAAAAGTGAACTTTCACCATCATGTGAAGCTTAAAGCTCTCATTCACTCATTTTTAAATAACTCTGCTCTGTGGTCTGGTATAAACAAATGCCTTGTGTCTTTCCTCTGTGAGGAACAAATAGCTCTGGCGTTCCTGTTTCAGGAAGTAGAAAGTGGAAAACGGCAGATTTTGGAGTCTTACTCATAAATATTTATTGTATGCAAACACCTAATTTCTCATTGGCTAACAGCAACACGACTCTTCTGCTGACTCTGTTCGCTTTGCAACGTTAATATTTTATCTCCACATATAACACAAGCACGGAGGAGCTTCTGACATGTTGTGGAGTTGCTGATGCTAACAGTTAGCTTCTACTAGCGGAGACACTCTCTGCGGTTTCCTGGATGCTAAACCAACAACAGCCTTCCCTGTCATGAACCAAGATGGTGGAGTCCATGAATGTTACTTGACAGTGTGATGTAGAAGAGACTGACTCTTCTGTTTCCTTTGTGCAGCTAATGCAGTCAACGGGGGTTGTTCAGCCTACACGTGAAACTGAAATTCAAACCAAACACTTTGTACAGTTTCTCTGTGAACGAGACCTTTAAAGCTAATAACTGAATAACTTTCAGTAACAGGCACAGGTCAGTTATAAACAAATGAGGTTCTCATCAACAGGTGAACCAGTAATGGCTTGGTCTGTGTGTCTCTGTCAGAGAGTAGTAGACAGCAGGAGGGTGGTACCTGGTATCTGTCCATGAGAGAGACGTCTGGGAGGCAGGCCTTCGCCGTTTCCTCCTCAGACATCAAAGTCCCCTGCAGAGTCTCCTGTTCCTCCACATCAGCCTTGAGCTTCTCGATGTCTCTGTTGACAATCTGAAGACGGTTCCTTAGCTCAGGTAGCTCCTTTTCCTGAAACTGGACAATGGACTGTCTGGAAGACATTACAATTAAACTTAAAGAGTGGAAACTGAAGTGACATTAAGCTAAAAAACGTTGAAGCCAACGATGTTCTTTCTATAACAAGTTTGGAGTTAGACGAACTAAAACTCACATGTAGGAAAGTCAACAGATCAAATAACATGGAATTTGTTTTCTTTACAGTTCAAACATTTATAGAGCAGGTTTGTCCCAAATACCCCCCCTCCCCCCCCTCCCAAAAGCTGCAGGAAAACTTAAAAACCAGGAAGTTCTGCAAACATTGGAAACATCTCACATAAACACCAGAACCTTTGATAATTTAGCTCCATCTAGTGAGAGACTTCATAAAAGTGATCTATGCAGGAGGACACTATTCTGTAATGAGAAGATATGAAAGCAGCACTTGGGTCATTTCAAAGCTAGGGTCATTTTCACCTTAACTGATCTTTCATCATTACCTAGACGTTTAAAGTCAAACAACAATGCGAGCAGAAATGATAAAATCATCGAAGGTTTTTGTTGCTCCTGCTGCCCTCGTCACCATTCTGTACCTGACAGGTCTGAGAGCCATCATCTCATCTTTCTTCTTCTCCTTTCTCTTCAGGTCCTGCTCTGTGTTCTTCAGTTTGTCTGGAACCAGGCGTAGCTTCGACTGCATGTCGTTGATGACTTCTTGCAGATCGGACTCTGAGGGAAACGTTCGCTGGCACACGGGGCAACAGGGCGCCCGCTCCTCCGTTAGCTGACTGATGAACTGGGAGTAAACTGCTGTGGCTCCCGCTAACATGGCTTTACCAGAAAGAGAAAACAAAATCAACATGTCCTAAACTGACCTGCATAATGTTCATTTAACTCTAGAAGTAATATTTAAAAATCTAAACTACAATGTGTTAAATCATCAGAGACTCCTGGAAAACTCTGCCTCTGACCTCTCTGTTTGGAGATCTTCTCCAGGTCTTCCTGCAGTTTTCCCAGGTCCTGTTCCAGATCCTGACTCCCGCACACACTGAAGAACCTCTCTTCATCGCTCATCAGCTGTTGCTCCTTCTTACGCAGCTCAGCAGCAATATGGCTTTTTTTCTGCTCACTTGATGCCAAATCCTTGCTGAGATGGATGAAAACACCAAAAGAACGGATGTAAATGCATCTTCTAAAACATCTCAGGATTGTTTCATTAAAAAGACATGTCGCTAACTTGAGTTTTCCAAGTCGGTCCCTGGTGCTGTTGATTTCCTTTGACTTGGAATAGATCCAATCTTCCAGCTCTCTCTTGTTGGGAAAGTGTCCAAGGAGGGACACCAGATCATCACCGTGGCGAGATTTGATTTTCCGTATCTGTTCCTCTTTTTCTGCCTAAAAATGAGCGACACAGCAACAAACAACAAAATTAGAAAAATAAAGAAAACTGATAATAAGGATTTGAATTGAAGTAGCAAATTGTTCGTTTCTCTGTAGAAGTTTTTTAATGGGCCTTTAGGTTGAGACGAGACATGATCTTACTTCATCCTTTTTTAACATGTCCATCTGCGTGCGTGCAGTCGTGTGTGCGTTGAGATTCTGCATCTCTTGGTCGAGCTGCTTCTGCGTACGATCCAGGTCTGCTTTTACTTTTTGGAGTTCTTCAATATCGGTCCTCAGCTCCTCCACACTGGAGCTCCTGACCGCCTGCTGCAACTCGCGCTCCTGCAGAAAAACAAACGTACGGATGACATTAGCAGAGCAGCACCAGATCAGTGATAACATTTTAACTCTGAGTCTGAACCAATGCATTTCAATTTTTTTAAGTTGACAGTTCTGCATCTGTCAATACAGCCATTTGTTATCGCTAATTAAGATTTAGAAAAAAAGCAAAACCAAAAAAAAAAAAAGAAGAATTCGTTATTAACTGACATCCCTGCAGAGAAAGTTTTTTTTTTGCAAAGTTTGAAAACTGTGACTGAAACATTTTTAAAGGACTACTTAACTGTGAGACCACTGCAACTGCATTGATTAAATATGTGAATCACACCCTTTAAAGGCCATGCTTATTGCTTTATAAAGTTAAATCTGATCTTTTCCACCTGATTCCGGATCCTATGAAAATCACCCGATCAAGCCGGACTTCCAATCACGTGATTGGATCGGAGCATCCCTACTGAAGGCAGACAAACCTGGGTTCCTGCGGGGTCTTACAAAGTCTTAAATTTAACCTGATGAAACCTGTAGGAACCCTGACAAACACAGGCTTCGTTTTTATTGTGAAACTGGTTTTTAGACCTTCCGATGACTAACATAACATTACTGCTGCTAGTACAAAAGCGGGTTAAGTAGTCCTTTTAACTCATTCACTGCCAGCTGTTTCCTGATCAGAAATATCCCTTGCTGCCAGTGTTTTTACTGTTACTAATTAAAAGAAAATTATAATAAATTATCTTCTGTTTTTTTTTTTTTTTTTTTTTTACCAGTTAGAAACCCTAATTATTCATTTGAATCCATCGTGGTTTTTTGCGGAGCTGTAGCTAAAACAAATAGCTCCTCTGAGCTCATAGCTGGGTGTTAAATATGTATTATTTTGACAATTTTTATTTTCTTTTTATTTGGCCATTAACTTTTTTCCAATTCCCTCATTCTTCGTTTTTGCTCCCTAAAAGTGTTTCATCTTTTGACACTTATTAAACTCACTGGATGGGGTAAAAAATTGCAAGTTGATTGCAATTTTGAACCAATTATTTATGTGAAATATAAAATAAATACATCTCTGGCAATAAAAATATTTTTTTCACATTTCATTCAGAAAAGCATTGCATTAAAGGTGTGAGACATTTGTTAATCAATCCATTTGCAGTGGTCTATAGAAGGAATGAGTGCTCTGTAGGTCAGAAGCTAATAAAGGACAGGGTTTCCCCCAGCGTTTTATAAGCCTGGCGGCCCACCAGGCTTTGCTTGGCCACCCGCCAGGCTAAGCGTCATGCCCCGCCCCCCCCTCCCCGACCCTACCGTGTCCGCTGACACAAACAGCGCAATGGAACTAGAGCCCTCCATCAGCTGATACAGGTGAGAAACAGCAGCGGAATGTGTGCAGCCCCCCATCCCTGCTCTCACGGAGGAGCGCCGCAGGACGGAGTGCGCGACGCGACCCCCCCCCCCCCCCCCCACACACACACACACACAGCTGAATCCGCCAGGCTTAACTCATTTTCCTGCAGGACATTGGTGTAGGACAGTGGTTCCCAAACTTATTTAGCCGCGCACCCCCTTCTATGTCCATGTCGACGCACCCCCCAGCCCCCACATCAGGGCATGGCTATATATATATATATATATATATATATATATATATATATATATATATATATATACATATATATATATATATATATATATATATATATATATATCAGACGTCAAGCTAAACAGACAGGGTTAAAAAAATATGATTGACCTTTTTCCCCATCACTTTCATTTTTTAAATAGTAATTAATAAACATTCGATACCATTACGATTTACTTTGATTTAATTTTAAATAAATATTTAGAGTGCCCAACATAAACAATGCAATTTAACGGTTTTCTTAAAGTAGGAACGTTTAACCTGTGCGGCCAGAGCGCTCTCCTTCCTTCTGCTCTGCGTAAACCTGAACTGGTCACCTACTTGTGCGTAATCAAATGTCTATAGGGGAAAATATGGAAAAGCCATGAGGTTCACTTTTGCCTCAGACCGACTTATTGCTGTTTTATGGTGTGGCTGAATCTGCGATCCGCTGCCACGCGGACTGGAACAACAAATGCTGCAGTAACAGGAGCTGTAGTCAGGTTCGGAGTCACTGGCTGGAGCGGACCCGACTTTAATACGTCATCCCAAAATAGAAGCTAATATCTTAATTTGACCTGGAATGAAAAATGTTATAAAACCTCTTAAAAGTTTTTATCACAGAGGAGGCAGCACTCATTTCTGGGGCGCCGGAGTTTGCGCAGCGTGCGCTCTTATTGAATCTGCGTGTGTGTGTGTGCGCGCGTGCGCGGCACGGCTCCATGAGCCGCTCCAGTCACCGCGCCTCGTTATTGGCGCTATTTAAACCAATGTTGTAAAATGACTTCTGCCCAGCCCAGATGTGCTCACTTGTGCACCCGTGAGCCGTGGTTCCGCTGGCACGCGTCTGACCTCTGACAGACGCACTCTGAACTTCAGATCTCTGGCACGCTGTTAATAGCCTGAATGGGAATCATTTCTTATTTATTTTGTTACATCCACAATGTTCTGTGTGTGAGGTTTACAATGTCAGAGCACCTGCATGAGACACGGTGTTAATTACAATCTGCCAGAATGACTCACCTTTAGATTCCTCCAACACCGTTAAAATGATCAAATACGGAACATATCGGCGTGCGCAGGCCAGAGTGCTGAAGCTCGGCGCATTGTTATTATGAAGCTAGAACACATGTGGAGGACAAACACGTGCGCGCAAAATTATACTAGTTTTCAATTATATTTATTGTGCCCACTTACGTTTTCTTAGGCCCACCCACAAACGAGTTTCTGGCTACGCTAATGGTGACATATGACAGACTTCTCTGAGCTCCGCAGCCATTACACTTTTCACCTCGCGCACCCCCGGGGGTGCGCGCACCACACTTTGGGAATCCCTGGTGTAGGACACTGTTTTCCTGTCCAGCCTACATGAAGAGCTCAGAGTGACCGATTATAATCAGAAATCATTAAAAAAATATTTTTCTGTGAACCACACCTTTAAAGATTTAAGCTCCTGTTTCTTCTCTCTCTAATTCAACATCAAAAACAGTAAGTCCAATTTGCTCGTTATGATTTGACTCAAGACCATCTCTGATCATGTTTATGACCAAGTGTGAGAGGACTGTGTGTGTTACCAGCTTAGTCAGCTCGTTTTCAAGCTCCTGCAGCCGACTGGACGAACCCTCGAGCCTCTGCAGGTCAGCCCTTATGTTTCTCAGTTCCTGCTGCTTCTTCCCCTGCATGTCTCTCTTCAGCTCTACGGTTCTCTCCAGGCCGGTCTTCTTATCCCTCATTTCATCCATAGATTGTTGTTTCTGTTGCTCCTTTTCCTGCAAATCATCCTAAACAGACACAATAACAACAAAGCCCTGAGAGTAAATAAAGCATCAGGTTCAAGGTCTCTTCATTGTCATGAACTCATGTTTAAGTCATTAATAACGTTCCTGATGCTACCATTAAAAAAAAATACCTACTGCAACTCACGTGAACACACACAAAATAACTACAACTGTGTTGAACTGCTTGTTGTTTTAAACTATCGTTCTAATACTGTTTGAGAAGTCGTGCTTTCACAGAACACGCCTTACCATGATCTGTCTGAGTGTTTCTCTTTCCTGCTCGAGTCTCTGTGAGACGTGTCGATGGAAGCTCTCGAGCTGCAGAGAGGTGAATGGCAGACGATCGTAACCCTCCATTTCCAGGTAGGATGACAGAGAGCGAACCTGTGAAATGAAGGCGACAGGATGTGTAGTTTTTGTTTTTCCTAGCTTTGATTTTAATCAGTCTTCTTGACTCTGCTCACATGAGCATCGCGATTCTTGATGTTTTGAGCGTGGCGGTCAGCTTCCAACTGCAGACGACCTGAGGAAAAAACATGAAGGGGTTTCTTTTAGCGATCGTAAGGACCAGCATGTAATAGACATGTGTATGGAGTCTGGCGATACGATGCATTTCACAATACCGGGGAGACGATATGATATATCACGATGATACTAAAACTGAATTTAATTGGAAAACTTAGGCCAGACGTTTCCAGGACACACCCAGTGTTGTCGCTTGTGTCCCATCAGAACGAAGGTAGTAAAAAATGCCGCCACCTAGGTGTCGGAGTGTGAACTGCACCACCCAAAGGAAATGAAGTAAATAATGCTTTTTAAAAATCAGTTAAATATCTTCACACAAAGTATTGCGATACTTCAGTGTTCCAATTTTTTTTTCATCCCTTAAAAATGTCAAAACATAATTTAAAGTTCGAGAATTCAAAACCACATTTACCTTGTTGATCATAGGCAGCCTGGGGTGACTAATGCAGTGATGATGTAATCACCACGGAAAAACGATTCGTTCTGAGAAAAGCTGGTTTAACACAGACACAGCTGTTTACATTAGCACGACACAACCCACTTCAACATCTGCATTATATAAACGTTGGTGGCGGTAATGCTAACTGCAGAACAACGCTAGCCCAAGGGGAGCATGTCGGAGCACTCATGTGGCGTTCCATGATGGACCAGGAATATCCACACTTTGAATTACACCAGATAGATCTATAGCTAGCCCACGGAGTTACCCAGATACTGTACACAGTTTCTAGCTTCAGTCAGCATCATGGAGACATAAGGGTAAACCGGCCAATCAGCACGCAGCTCATCTAATATCCATTTCCAGGCTGAGCAAATAGTCTTTCCATTGTATGGTTTTATTATGGAGTTGTGTTTGGCCATTTATCAGGGCTCCTGGGCCGTTGTGAGCCACAACAAAGTTTCATTTACTCTATAGAGGCTTAAGGAAGTTATTTATTGTAAAAAGTTATTTTAAGGCCTCTTTAATGTTGCCAAAAGACTATTTCCCTGGGAATGTAATAAATCATCTATGTACTTCACTGAAATAAATAACAAATTAAATTAATTATGACTGGTTTGCAATCTCTAAATAACTGAAATAAGGTGACCAGACGTCCTGCCTTTTCATTACTTTTCACGCGTCCCACAGATTGAGACTTCTGCCCCCACATTAATGATAAGTCTCCTGTTAGGAGTTTCAATCTTGAATAAACTGTGGAGAAAGCTGCCTGTTGCTGTCAATCAGACTAGCAATCAAGAACTATATTATTAGATTACATCTGAAATTGTTAAGAGATTAAAGTCATTGATGTTCGTCTTCTCTCCCCTAAAAATCTGCTATAAGATATTTGTCGTCATAAAAAACACCTTTTATTCTGAATTAAGAAAAAAATAGCAAAAAAAAATAAATAAATAAAAAAGATTTTTTTTTTTCAATGGGATGCTGATTTTTGTGGAAAATTGAATTAAAAACAAACAAATAGATCTAAAAACGTTACTGGTACTTTTATTGTCATTCTGATGTGGAAAATATTCAATGAAAAATCTGAAAAGCTGCTTAAACCTGCATTTTTTTGAACACCTATCTATATTTTAAACGAGTTGGTTTTAAATTATTTTAGCTAGTTATTCAGAGCCACCGTATAAGGCCCAATGAAGCTGTGATAACTCGACAGGAACTGTGAAATGGTACGACAGCTTTTGCTGTTTGCTTGTTCAAATTGAATTTAAATAGAATATATAGCATGACATAAATGATAATAAAGATTTATGTATAATTAAGAGTGATGTTGGAGCTAAAAGGCAGAATAAAAACTTTTTTAAACGTTTTTACTTTATCTTGTTGCATTGGAATATCATATTGTCCCACATTAGCATAGTCTCTGTCCCACATTTGGTGAGTTGGGATTGGGTCAACCTAAACTGAAAGCATTTAATAAATGAGCAGACCACAGCTAACATCGCGACTACCTTGCTCTACCAACAGATCGGCCCTGACTCGGTTGAGTCTCTGACACTCTCGACCAGCTCTCTCCAGATCTCTCTGATAGTCCGTCAGCCTCCGCTCCTTCTCCCTCACCGTCCTCTGGTGGTTCTGGTAAACATCTTGCAGTTCCTCATCAGAACCCTGGAACACCTGCACCAAAAAACATTCAACAGCTCAAAGGAGTTCTTAGTCTCATCTACAGCTCCACAAAACACCACGATGGATTTGAATCAGCCTCTGCGATCAAAACGTCAATAAATAGTGAAGAGGTCAGACATGTATATTTATATTATATGCATATGCATATGTATATATATATATATATATATATATATATATATATATATATATATATATATATATATATATATATATATTAGGGCTGCAACAACGAATCAATAAATTCGATGAAAATCGATTACTAAAAGCGTTGGCAACTAATTGCGTCATCGATTCGTTGTGTTGCACAACTCTTCCAAAAGCCCCCTCCCCTCCCGCCCGCCGTTGCGCGCAGACCGCAGAGCCAGCAGGTGTTTGGAAAGAGGAACATGGCAGAAGCAGCGAGACCCCAAAAAAGTAAAAACTTCTAAAGTTTGGGAGAATTTTCAGTTAAATCAGGCGAAGACATTCGTTACCTGCAACGTTTGTAGGTCAGACTTAGCATGGCACGGGAGTACTACAGTGATGATGCAGCATCTTAAATGCAAGCATGTCAGAATCACCAGCGAGGAAGGAGAGAGCTCTGTGTCCGGGTAAGTTAAAAACTTTTCAAAAGTGATTCACCCAAGCCCCGGATTATTACACAGGCTAGACATGCCCTAAGCTCGTTAAAAAAAGTCTATAAAATTGTAAGCGCAACGCTATTAGATAGGCAGGGGGGGGGGGGGGGGCAGCATTTTTTCCGCCGTCACATTCCCGCAGAAACTGGTTGATCACACCGGGGCCAGACTACTAGCATGTGGCTTTACAACCACGATGTCCTCAGAAGCGAAAACGCTTTTAAAAGGGAGGGAGGAGTCCTAACTGTTGCTGCAGGCGTGTTGTGTGAGTGCAGTTATATACTGGTTAATATATTTTTGGGTTCAGTTGCTTTCACGTGGCCTAATGTGAGTCTATTTGGGATCATTGGAATGATCAGCAGCATTTCTTGATGTGACTTTATGGCAGTTGCCCAGGGCATCATCACAAGGAGGATGGCATTCATTTACTTTTGTTTTATTTGGTATTTTTTCAGTCATTTTTGGAAATAGTGATTAATTTTGATTAATTCACAGCCTATGTTTAATTACATTTAAAAATTAGTTGTTTGACATCCCCAATTATAATAAATGTCAACAGATGAGATCAAACAAAACAGATGAGAATTGCCCTTAAAGAGCAAGTCACCCCCAAATAAACGTTTTTTTTGCTGATAAACTAAATAAATGAGTGTCTAATCGTGCTGCAGACACATGTCGTCAATAATTTGGCACTTCAGTGCATCTTAGTTAAAATTTAAATATTCTGCCTAAAACTGGCAGTGTTGTGCCATCGTCAGGTAAAAACTCTGCACTGTATTTTAATTTAAATCTGCCACCGCTGTTGGCTAAGAAGTATGCTATGATGTAAACTGGTACATTATGATGTCACAATGCTGTCATGAGCCTGAGTGTGTGTTTGTTAGCGGCTCCGCCCTCTCGGTCTGCCAGGCAACAGCATGTGTTGCATTTTTCAAACATGAAGTGGGAGTGGAGTTAGACTCTGGTAGGGGGTGACTTGCTCTTTAAAGAGCAAGTCACCCCCAAATAAACTTTTTTTTGCTGATAAACTAAATAAACGAGTGTCTAATCGTGCTGCAGACACGTGTCGTCAATAATTTGGTACTTCAGTGCATCTTAGTTAAAATTTAAATATTCTGCCTAAAACTGGCAGTGTTGTGCCGTTGTCAGGTAAAAACTCTGCACTGTATTTTAATTTAAATCTGCCACCACTATTGGCTAAGAGGTATGCTATGATGTAAACTGGTACATTATGATGTCACAATGCTGTCGTGAGCCTGAGTGTGTGTGCATTTGTTAGCGGCTCCGCCCTCTCGGTCTGCCAGGCAACAGCATTTGTTGCATTTTTCAAACATGAAGTGGGAGTGGAGTTAGACTCTGGTAGGGGTTGACTTGCTCTTTAAGCTCTTTAACTTGGACCAAGCATTTTAGGTCACAGATAGGTGTAGCTTAGGGTCTCTGTCTATACACCTTATAAGACAATTTAGGTGATGGCTTGTTGTTTTTCTGCTATTGAACTGTTTTCTAATAATGTTGTGTTTAATAAAGTGAAGGAAGGAATAACGTTTCCCTAGCAGTTTTTAAAAATGTCCCTGTGTAATCCGATTAATCGATAAATCGTGTCGAGACCCCATCCGATTCATCGATTATCCAAATAATCGTTTGTTGCAGCCCTAATATATATATATATATATATATATATATATATATATATATATATATATACACATACATACATACATTTGCATATATATACACACACACACACACACACACACACACACACACACACATATAGTGTACAACATTATATTTGAGGCTGAATAAGGAGTAGACTAGAAAAATTATGGATTAAAATTATAGTCTGGGATTAAACTAAAATAGAATAGGGGATAGAAAGTAAAACTTTAAAGCTTCTGTGATTTTAGACTTTTGCCTGTTGAAATTACTTGTTCCATTTTCTCCTCCAGCTCCTTGTTGTCCTCCTCCATTTGTTTCTTCCTGCTGTCTAACGCCTTTATGTCATTGTCCAGCTTCATCACCATCCCAAATTTTGTGTCGATATCAATAAGTCGATTCTGAAAATCATTTTGAGTGACAGGAAGAAAGCATTAGCGACCTGTAAGATGTTATTTGCTGTTAAAAAACAAACCCACCTCGAGTGGCTCAATCTGGCCATCGATCTGCTGGATGTTGCTCTTCGATGATATTAGCTGAGACTCCTTCGTGGCCACGATGTCTCTAATTTGCTGTGCTTTCTCTTTGTTTTGCTTCAGGTAGCGCAGCTCAATCTGACACTCTTTGACCGTCTGTGTCTGTTTGAGACGCTGTTGGCGCATAATCTCCAGAGCTTTGATATACCTAAGCACGAGACACACATAGTAAAAGGGATTGAATGTTTAGGTACACATATGGTACTTATGATGGAGTTTTGTTGTTTAGTAGAGCCAGGAACTTACTTGGTCGCAGCGAAGATGGAGTCAAACTTATCTTTAAGAGCTTTTCCTTCGCTGAGCGGCCAATTAGACTCCTCTTGGTGGCAAAAGATGACATGATTCAGCACAGGCTTGGAAACGCCTAGAGCAGAAATCATTTCCCGATCCAGCTCACCGCACTTAGAGGGCAAGCTCACTTTCTTACCATCTCTGGAGAGGTCAAAAGGAACCGCATAATGAAAAATATGTAATATGAGGACAGGTTTTTAATTGAACACAGGCATGGCTTACTTCATTCTTGTGATGACCTGTTCTAAGCTTTTGAAGGTGCAGTTCTTCGCCTTTTGGGTGCAGGACATGGAGCGATGGATGGTGACTTTTTCCCCGTTGACATCAGTGAATAGGAGTCGAATTTGAGCTCGCACTTCTGTCTCATGGGCATCCTGCAATTAAACAGAATGAATCACCCCAGTAACAATGTCATCGTTTGAAAATTATTGTTTTATTTATTTGAGCACTATTAAATTCAAATTCATTTGTCTTACTGGTTCTTTTGAGTTAATAGATCAAGAGCCATAATCAGACATCACAAACGTCAAGAGGACATTATGAAACCTTCAATAAAAAAAGGAAAGTAATCCAAAGAACCAACCTTTGGGTCATGAACAAAAGCACCTCCCTTAGAACTGGGGGGAAGTTCTCCTGATGTTGCATACTTGAGGCATTCAATAATGGTCTGAAAGCATCAAAAGTAATACATGGGGTCAAATAATTTCAGATTAAGTCAAAGAAAGTAGCACTTGTGTTTAGTTGTCCTAAAGACTTTGTTACCCACCCGGCTTCCCAGTTAATCTTATCTGAATGTTTTCGTACCGTTTTCCCAGCTCCGTTGGGTCCAACCAGAACAGTCAGAGGACTAAAGAAAGAGATGATCTGTTTGTCTTTGTCCTCAATCCCAAAGCTCCTCACACCCAAGATGCTCATTTTATCTATCTTAGACATTTTCTTTTTTGCTTTCTGAAAGAAGGAAAGGTGAGAAATGATTTAATATTAAAAAATGTAAAGAAAAAAATATATAGGAAAACAAGTCAGATAAATAGCACAGAACAGTATTAACCCTGAGGGTGATACGTTATCGACTATTGTATTTTCATTTCAAACTAGTTTTCATTGCACAGCTACAAAACTGTACTTTTTTCAGCAAATATAACGATATTTCTTTCTATTTAACTCCTCCGTGCATTAGCTGCAACATTATTTCCACTTAAAACTGACTGTGGCACAAACACATTACAGGTACGTCTTCGACATTCACTCTGTAATTAAGCTAATCAGCAAGAAAAGAGAAACCCACGTGTTATTCTACAGTATTAACTAAGAAGTGTGGTGTTTTGTACTGTTACTAAAACATCATCCGGTTTCAAACTAAAATGTCTTTGTTAAACTCTAAACCAGTTAAGACCTTTTAAAATCCCGATAAGTTTGTGTTTGCTAAGGCAAAATAAAGTAGTTAACGGGTTAGCTAACGACCAAATTAGGTTAAGCTACACCGCCATGTTCAGCAAACAACACACACAGCTAAACGGAAGGAACAACCATAGAGTTTCGTAGGGTTTAAGTTTATTAGAAGAAGCCGTTAATAGTCAAGTAAATTCACTTTTTAAACAACTCACCCAGAGCAACACTCCTTACTTCCGCTTGAACGTAAAGGTTTTCGCGCCGTTGAGCGGAAGTGACGCAGCCAGAAGACACACTTCCGGTATGTTTATTTACCCTGATATAAAGTAATGTTCCAATAAAATTTGCAAGAGGGTTACAATTTTTATTTTATTAGAATTACACCACAAACTTTATAAATATCCAAGTGTACCTCGACGATAAGTTAAACTGGAAAAGGAACAGTGATGCTGTTGTTAAAAAGGCCCAGTCCAGATTGTTTTTTCTTAGGAAGCTAAGATCCTTTGATATAAGTAGGAGGCTCTTGAGTGTGCTTTATCAGGGGATTATGGCCAGTGTGTTGTTTTATGCTGGGTTGTGTTGGGGCAGGAGCCTCACTGCTGAGGACAAAAACAGGATCAACAAAATGATCAAGAAATCTGGCTCAGTGGTTGGGCAAAGCTTGGACTCATTTGAAATGATCATCGACAAAAGGATGATGAGTAAGCTTAAGACCGTTATGTCTCTGAAGGATCACCCCCTTCATCAGGTTTTTAAGGATCTCAGGAGCTCTTTTAGTGGGCGAATGCCCCATTGTTCCTGCAGTGCGTTTTTACAACGAGCATTTTGTATGATCGTATATTTGATATTTCTATCATGGTTGTGGCTCGTAGCAGTGTCCAGTGAATGTAATTTATTTATTTATTTTGCTTGTGCGTGTATGTTGTTGTTGTTTTTTACTTGTCCATGGCAATTCAATTTCCCCCTTAGGGATTAATAAAGACAACCCTGACCTTGACATTTATTTATTACGTTACGGCCCTCGCCTCTGGAACGGGCTGCCGGAGGATCTCAGAGGACGTTCATGTTTTTAAGAACCCCAGAGCTGGGACTGTCATAGATTACAAGGCGACTCTGTGGGGATTCCACAACGACCAATTTATTTAATACAGTTAACTTAACCCCAATTGGTTAATTAGCCTGAACCAGTTCTTTTGGCCAGTCCCCCATAACCATCATTACTTCTGATTTATTTTGATTAATTTTATATCCTGAGAGTTCTGCAGATGTATCTAGTCAAAGTCAAGTCAAAGTCATTTATCTAGATTGTTAAGCAATGCTGGTACTGATATTTTTGGATTTTTTATAAAAAGTAAAATATCATCTGCAAATAAAGCAATTTTATGGACTGTCCCTTATCCATCTCTTATTCCCTGAATCAACTTGTTCTGGCGGATTATCTCTGCCAGTGGTTCAATACTCAAGGCAAAAAGTACAGGTGATAAGGAATCTCCCTGCCTCACCCCTCTTTCTACCTTAAAATTTTTTGAAAAATAACCATTTATTCTTACTGTTGATTTAGGGTTTTTATATAAAACATTGAACCAATCTACAAACTTTTTCCCAAAGCCCATTTCCAAAAGAGTATATTTTAAAAAGGTCCAGTCTACTCGGTCGAAGGCTTTCTCTGCATCTAAGCTCAGGAGCATGGATGTCTGCTTATCTTTCTTCATTATTGACTGTAGGTTTAAAGCTCTCCTCACATTATTTGTGCCTTGACGTCCTAAAATAAAACCAGTCTGGTCTGGTTTAGTTAATTTCTTTATATGTATCTGTATTCTAGATGCTAGTATTGATGTCGGTATTTTATAGTCTACACAGAGCAGGCTTATATGGGCGATAGCTGGGGCATTGGAGAGGGTCTTTCCCTTCCTTGTGCAGAACTGTAATAATCGCTTCTTTCCATGAATCGGGAGGATTCCCTGAGTCTAATACATAATTATATAGTTTACATAGTATAGGGGTAAGTTCTGTAATAAAGGTTTTATAGTATTCCCCTGCAAAGCCATCCGTGCCTGGCTAGCTATTATTTTTAAGTTTACTAATACCATTTCTAACTTCAGTCTCTTTTATCGGTTCTGTAGCACCTTCTTCTTCTGACAATCTATCCAACTTAAGAGTTTTATAGAAATCTTTTATCCCGTCTAATTTAAAGGCCGAAGCTTGGCCTGTATATAATTTATGATAATATTCTGCAAAGACCTCTGAAATCCCTTTTGGGTTCATTTCTACCTTATTCATATTTAATGAATTAATTTTAGGTATTATACGGCTGGCTTGGGCTTTTCTCAGCTGAAAAGCTAAAAGTTTACTTGCTTTATTCCCCATTTCATAATATTTTCATTTTATAAATCTTAGGGCTCCTTCTGCCTTATACGTTAGTAGACCATCAAGCTGAGCTCTTATATCTTTCAAATTATCCAGTGTTTCCTGTCGTTCATTTTGTTTATGTTCCTTTTCCAACTTTTTTATTTCTGTCTCTAATTCTATCCGTTTTCTCTCCCTTTCTCTCTTTATTCCAGAACCTATAGAGATGAGTTTGTCTAACTTATAGTTGATTACGCAATTGAGGTCACCCCTAACAAGAATCAGACCTTTCCCTCTCTCCGCAATTAATTGAGCCATTTTTTCAAAAAATTTCGGGCAATCTTCATTTGGTGCATAAATATTTAGTACTGTTAACTTAACCCCTGCAACTGATCCAACCACCATAACATATCTACCTTTTTTGTCCTCGATTACCTCTTCATTAGAATAATAAACATTTTTATTAAATAATATAGCTACTCCTCTTTTTTTCCGTTGCCATATGAGGCACTGTATACTTGATCTACCCACTTACTTTTTAATTTTTGGTGGTCTGTCTCTGATAAGTGCGTTTCCTGTAGCAGAGCTATAGAGCATTGTATTTTTTTAATTGGCCCAGGATCTTCTGCCTTTTAATTGGATTATTGATCCCCTTTATATTATATGTAACTACTTTTAAGTAGTTCATTGCTATTTTGCTTAAAAAAATTATTACCTTTTGATTGCATGTAAACACAAATAACAACAAATAAACAAAAATCTAACTGCACATACACATACATAATATAATAAAGTTTAAACCTACTTGTCAGTACAACATCTTCCTTTATATAAATCTGAGCTTCCAAATTACTAGCCTGTCGCAGTGTTGTATCTAGAACTGCGTCTGGCTCCCGTTGGTAAGGGACCAGGGAGTGGTGACTTAATCTCCCTGTAAAAAACTGCACATAGTGTGCAATGACGACCAATAATACAAATTTATGTAAAAAAAAAAAAAGTCGTAGTTGCGCATTCTTCATGCGAAAAAAGCCCCAAAAGAAAACCTAATAGGGAATCACGGTTCTTCCCGTCAGACTTTTAACCTAAGAATATATAACATATTATATTTTTCTTACACTGACGAACATCCATATTTGATATCTGTAGCTGTCACATGTTTTAAAAGACGATTTGAGGTAAATGGAAAACCGCCTGTTTGGAAAAACATGTTCTTGTCTATGAAGAGAGCAAATTCAGCCAGTCTTTCTCCAAAAACCAATGTAGCGAGTTTAGAGATTGAAAATTGTCTACCAAATGCTTCTGGTGACGAGGTGTCAACTTTAAAACAAGATGACATTATCAGTATACGGACTATGAAGACAGTACTTACACACACAACTAATGAGGAACTTTGGATCAGATCAAATGGGGTTGTAGACACGAGCTATAGTGAATGAAAATCTTTTGTGTGTTCATTCTGTTTCTTCTAACGAACAGACGTGGCAAGCTTTGAATAAGACTGCAGAAGTAATGGAAACGTCAGCAAAAAAATGTAAAAGTACTCTTTTCTATTGTGAATTAACTTTTAAGAATCGTAATTGCTGAAGCTAGTGACAAAAGTCTTTTCTTTGAATACCCAAAAACGTATCCATATATTTCACTCACAGGAAATGGTTGCTCAGATCCTTTCTATATACATTAGATTTCCTATTATTGTCCTCAAAAACCCTTTCTGCTATTCAGAAAGTCAGCAGTTTGTGGACTCAGACCAGCATCCCTATCTGCAGGCCTATGAGGACGGTTCTCTGGAGGATAAAAATTCAGATAAAGATTATTTTATGAGACTGACTCATCAAACATCATCCGACTGTGATTGATTTTCATGCTGAGCTGGTCCTGTATTTTGGAGTGGTATGACAAAGCTTAAGTTAAAAAAGATAACTGGTATATTACAATCTAATCCATGTTAAATACAAGGATCGGTACACCGACTGAGAACCATGAAGCCCATAATTGGTTCTGCCTTTCCGGCATCTGTCCACTGCTTATAACTACAACAGGATCCCTAAAAAGTTCTAATTTGGTAAAGGCACATCCCTAAGCCTGCTTCTAATAGCAAAATGCTATTGTAGGGGAATGGAATCCCCACAGAGTCGCCTTGTAATCTATGACAGTCCCAGCTGTCACTCCACGCCCTCTAAGGTGGGATTACTTCGTTGGGGCTCCAAAAGAAAAAGGATAACGCATTCTTTTTAAGCTGCAGTTACTACAGCATTGTATGATATTATAAATTATTCTATATACAGATAAATAGTTTAAAGCAGACAGACACTACAGCTGCAGATAAGCTATCTGTGACCTTGTCACAGTTAGATTTTGATCTTGTACTCTACCAGGCAAGAGGCTATAAACACGATCAGCAGCCTGTCATTAATGGCTGCAGCTATCACAGATTAAACAGGATTTTGTTTTCCAGCAAACAGAAGCTGATCCCTCATGATTTTGGGGTGATCACCTCTGTTTGAGTACGACCTAAGATATAACTTCTAAACCATGTCATGGACGCCTGAAAAAGTCCTATATGTTTGAGCCTGCAAAATAAGATGTCATGATCCAGAGTCAATGACTTTAGCCAAATCGGCAAATACCGGCACGCAATATTCCTTATATGATGTCATTTAGCACTCTTAAGTGGTGCAGAGACACATCTGTGGCCATTTCTGAAGCTGGACTGCTTGGGGGTAATAATATTGCTGGATTCCAAATAATGAGTTAATTGTTTGTTGACTAACTTTTCAAGTTTTCACTTCCTGAACAGCTAGGACTAGGACTAGGGCTGGGCTCCTGTGAGCCAGTGAGCATTGTGTATGGCCAATCACTGATATAGAGATCGTCAGGTTGCTAAAATTTAAACAGTTATTTTAATAAATACCACGTGAGAGGAACTAAGACGGCTGCAGCGCAAACACCCCATGGCCAGTAATTTTTTACAACAGAAACCATGTTATC